GCAAAGGCATGATTACTAGGAAATGTCTAGCATATCCAACATGCAAACCATTCTAGCCTCTGGTACAATCAAGTACCAGGGAGTGGAAACTACTTGAGCTGGCACTGCCATTGAAAGGAACATCTTGAAACCATGGCCTAACTTACATTTTTTGTAATGCAAGGGGAGTTTTCCCTTTTTTGGAAAAAAAAATGAGACAGCTGTGTGTTTTTCCTTCCCATCTCCCACTGAGCATCCTTTCCCAGTAAAGCTAATTTGCACGCAGATCCCTGGTACCTGTCTTCTTTCCTTTTAGGCTGTGCGGTGCCTTTCTCTTATGGAGAAGCTGTCTGGGATGACTCTGACATCACCTGGTTACTTTGTCCTTTTCCTTTGCTCTCCCAAATATTTTCCTTATTTGGGTATCTCTGACTTCTGTTTCCTCTTCTCCTTCTGTTAGGCCCCTAGCAGAGGCAGTAAGACTAGCTGTTCTTTATTTCCAGCTGGTTTATAGGTCTTTTGCTTTGTCTTCTCATGAAAGTGTCTGCATGCCAGCTGTAGCAACAGCTGAAAACAAGGAAAAATCATCTCTCTCTGACTAACTTATTTCTCTGTGGACAGTCGGCAAGTTCTTGTTGGGCTGTAAGTGGTCAATGATCTGCAGTTTGAGAACTTTCCAGACCCCAAAGTATTTTCTTATATAACATTTCACTGTAAGAAGTGTAAGGTTGCATTCACAAGTGGATTTGTATTTCTTTCTTGTTGTGAGGGGGAGGGAATACATGCTCAGATGTATTAGAGGAACAATTCTGATTCAGTAGAAAGGGCAGGCTCAGGGCTTGATTATGGCAGGAATGTAGTTATTGCATGTGAACATGATTTGGAAAGAACCAAATATTTAACACAAAGTTGACCATGAGTGTGGTTCATTGGCATAGATCGGTTTCATGATTAAAGTCCGTTGAAAGAGCAAAACAGAAGTTCTACTAAACTGAGTTGCAGACTGTTCTTATTCTTTTTCATGCTTCCTTCAGTTCTTGAAATCTTTACAGAACATCTTTTAGATTAATCAGAGCTTGCTTTGTCTTCATGTCTTCCTGTGCATTCTGATCCCCTCTTTTGGTCTCAAATAAGCAGTTGAACGCTACATAACAGTCTCAGAATGCAACTAAGTGGAAGTTAAATGTCACATATACTTTTCCTCCTTTCCAGTATTAAATAATCAGTGCTTGGATATAAGGCAGATTTTTAGGAGCCTAGACTGAGCATAATCCTTTCTCTCTAAAAGATCATAGAATGGTTTAGGTTGGAAGGGACCTTGAAGATCATCTAGTTCTAACCCCACTGCCATAGGCAGGGGCACCTCCCACTAGACCAGGTTGCTCAAATAAATGTATGTATATTCTGTCTAGATCACAGACACGCATGTTTTGGTAAAAGTTAATGACGTGAGTTGGAGTTAAAATGGGTCCTTCTGTTAAATTTGTAGTCACTACAGTATGTTTCATTCACTTTGAAAGATTCTACCAATCCAAGAGAAATTTCTTATATTCCATGTAACAACATTGTTGTAGCTATGAGATCTGATGATATAAATATGGACAAGGTCTGTCAAAAGGGGTGGTATATTTAAACTGACCTCTTTGTTTAGCTGGAAAGCAAGCAAATACTGTGGCATAAGAAAGGCACACTATGTTGGAAAACACTATCCCATTCCCTGTCAGCTGCTTTAATGAAGATACCACCCCAACCTTCAATTGTGCTTTTCCCAAGTGAGACAGTGATCAATACAATCCCAACTTCCAAGGAACTAGAAAACTGCAAATATTAGAATTGGTAGAGAATTTGGATAAATAGTTTTTCATTGAAAATCCATATTGCAAATGTGATTTCTGGGCTCTTGGAATGCAATGTTTGATGTAATTCATGTGGGGATAAGACTCGGTCCCATGGAGGTTTGAACCTGCAATTCACTTTTTCTCACAGAAACTAATTTAAGGGCTAAGTAAACAAAATAACTAGATTAAGATTTCAATCAAGTAAGTACTGAAGGTTTTTACAAAAGACAGACTATTTAATATTGGGTTGGGTTTTTTTGCCTCATCCTTAAAGAGCAATAACTCTCAGCATAGACAATGAACTTTTCCTTCAGGCTAATTTTGATATTACCCTCCTGGATCAGCTGACTGAGAACACTACAGAACCAAATATGCCATTATAAACGTATCATCTTCACGGCTCACTCAGAAATCTGTTGAGCTTGGAAATAGCTGCCTCAAGCATATCTACCTTCACAAGTGCATTCAGCACCCATGACAGCAGAGGGTGGATGATGTTGGAGAAAACTAGATAACAACAATTTGCCATCTCAGGTGCATGTTGACAGAGCTGAGATCTAGGGGTAAAGATTAGCATTTGTGTGTGATTCAGACTGTATGAAACTTCAAGTGTAGGTAGAGTGTAGGTAACTCTTTGTTCTTGTATGACATGTATCTGTTGCCATATAGACCTCATCACCTCGGCCAAAATTTCTGTCTCCCCTTATTGCCCTGCATGCCATTGTGCGTGTCGCAGGTTCTTGTTCAGCAGCCCAGGTGTGACCATGCGCCAGTGCTGTGATTTATGGAGTATTTAGTCTGTGCAGTCCTTGCAGTCTGTTGGGATCAAAGACAATGTGTAAATTCAAAATACTGTTACAAAATTAGGATGCCATTTGTTGTACTACAGAATTACACACCTGATTACTGTCTCTCCTGTAACCTCTCACTGTGATTTTGATTTGTTGATTTATTGTTGGGTTTTTTTGTTGTTTGTTTGGGGTTTTTTTCTTAGAACAGTGTACCTGGTTTTAATGTTACAAAGTCTGGGCACTGTATCACTAAAAATAACCTGGAAAATAGTCTAAATCTAAGCAGGACTAATGGCAAATCTAATTAATAAAAAGGGTAGCTTTTTGCTACTTGCTAAACTGGATGAGTTAATCTGGCACTCCTTCCTGACGGAGCTTCTCTCTGTCACTTGTCAGTGACCATGAGGATTCAGAAACATCATCCATGAGAGGGCTTGTGTCCTGCCTTGAAGAAAAAGTCCTGAGCTTGTCTCTTTATAAGAAGGTGTTCCCTGAGGACCCAGTCTGAAATATGTGATTGAACAGAAGCTAAATTGAGTCAAACATGCGCTCTTTCCCACTGTATTAACTCCCAGCCATTTTCTTACTATTAAAGAAATAGTTAGAAATAACTGCTGGGTTTTGGTGACTGCCATCCAAAGTAATGGTAGTGCCATTTATCGTGGCACCAGAACATCATACCATGATAAAGCTTTTCTTTCAATACAGAATAATTATTTGGCTTTGGTGTTGTATTCCTTGTAGCTGGTTATCCATTTTCATATGCTAGCATGTGTTTGTCCTGTTCAGTAGCAATTTGTTCTGAAACTGCACACCTGCTGGGCTAGCTACATGAATTCAATGCAGACTCCATTTTTTGCACTTAAAAATTATGATGCGGAAAACCAGTTTGCAAAATCTAAAGCATTCAAAATGTTCTGTGCAGTTTTACAGAAGCTGAGGGACTTTGGAAAAGCTAGGCTTTGATTTGTGTGCTACAATACATTTTTGTCAGATTATTAAAGTCTGTATCTACCTCAGCATATTCTGGATCACTTCAGTGTTACAGAAATAAACTAAATGCACAGCCTGGCAAATAATCAGATCAGTTCACCCGTGACAATGCAGCTCAATCTGAGTTTCATAACTTAAAATATTGTTCCTTGCTTTCATATGCTTCCTCATGTTAACAGCTGCAAGTGATAACAGACTCTCTGAACCAGCACCACTCCTGAGATAATTGGTAGTAACACTTGTGTATAAATATGTTAATATACTGGCTTTTAGTGCTGATATTCAGGAGATCTGAACTCTCTGGTTCAATTCTTACCTCTTTTGTTGACTTGTACAGTAATTTATGCTCTCAACTCCTCTCTGCTTTTGTTTATAAGTCTAAAAAATCCAGGTAACTAAAGACAGCTCAAGAGGCAACTTAAATTAGTGTCTTTAAGGTGGTTTGATATCCTTGTGTTAGCATGCTGATGTCTACAGGTAGTGCTTGTACAGTGAAGATGGTCATGATTCATACAGGCTTGTCTGTGAGCAAGGGACTCCCACAGAAGCAAAATAAGGATATTGTGGGTTTAGTCTGTATTAAGAGGTAGGTGGGAAATATGATAGACTATAATCTGTGGGAGCCTGCAGCTGTCCCCCGGCCAGCACGGTGGGATCCTCCTGCCCTGGCACAGCCTGGCTGCCGTGGGCAGGAGGAGGAGGAGGACAGTGTCTCCTGTCTGAGCCACCTGAATTGCCCCGTGGGCGAGTGCTGGGCACGCTCCTCACGCCTCTGCAGAGCAGGACTGTGACAACGTAGAGTACCGCTGCCACCAGCGGTGTCCGGCTTTACTATAACGTTTAATTTCCTCACTTTCAAACTTGTAGAAACACAAGTTTTTAAAATTAAGCCTGGCTTAAAATTTCTGCCTTTTGTGCATTTTTTTTTAATTGTTATTATTCTAGAAAAGTTCAAAACCCGTCAGCAGCGGGCAGGGAGCCCCGCGGGCGGCTCGGCGCCCCGTCTCTCCGCTGTCCGCAC